AAGAAGGTAAGTCAACAACTATTATTGCCTATAGAATGTTCAAATTATTAAACTTATTTTTTAAAGACTGCTTTATTATTATTCTAGACGACTTAACAAAATGAAGAAGCTTTTTAAAATAAATGCTTGATTTGAAGAGGCCCTGTGCTGTTGTTTTAAAAAGTGCTATTTTTTTAAATAAACTTCCAGAAAGCACATCAATTTTAACAGCATCTGTACAAGTATAGTCTGAAATATAACACTATAAACAGCGTATATTGTCTGTACTTTTTGTTGCAAGGAGGCAAATTGCTGAGAGGAAGAGGCAGATATTTTTCCCTTGTTTTCCTCCCCAAAATGTAGGTGTGTGTCTTATACTTCAGAGCATCTTATACTCTGAAAAATACGGTACTGTTTTACTGTTTTTTATTATATTTCATAATATATTATTTGCTACAATCTGTGGTTACAGCAATGAATTTACTTACTAATTTACCTTTGAAGAGAAAACATCTAGTTTATAATGTAGCAGGATATAATTAAACATATTTTTAGCCATGGAATATACTTTCTTTAAAACAAACATATTCACAGTTAGGAGATTCCATAGATGTGGAACATGACAATCTACAGTACTTTGTTTTTTCCTATAATCTGGAATTATCAGTTTCTGCATTTATAAATAGAATCACTGGCTAATCCTGATATTACATTCAATACTATAATAATGTTTTACTTTTCTTTAGTCATTCTCAAATCCCGCTGGCATGACAGAACAGTGTGTTAAAAGGTAGCGAAAGAATATTACATTTTCCTGTTACAAAATCAGTTCTGTTCAGTGTGTTCCAATTTTCGAGTATTTTCAAGTAGTAGTTTTATTCTTCATATTCCAGAAACTAGGCGTAGTAGAAATATTATATCAAGAAAGGAATACAGTACAGCCCAGTTAAAGATCACAACTAATACATGGTTCAGCTGCTAATTTAAATTGCATAAAATACTTTCTGGAAAACACATGAGCGATCTAAAGAATTCTTAGGGTGAAAACTCTAGCAATACCCTGGCTTCATTATTCAACTTATTAGGTGCATCCTTTCCAGCATTATTTCAGGGTAGAGGGATTGATGATACAGGATGCCAAGTATAGCAAAAGCATTATAATTCAGTTCCAAAGTTATTAAAAACCACAGAATACAGCAACTTTTCCTTTCAAGCCTCAATGGAGAAAACTCCTGAGAATACCACAGACAACCACAAAAACAAATAAATGGATCATCAAACAAATCAGCCCATAGTTCTCATTCAAAGCACAAATTACCAGGTTCAAATTTGAATACACTATGTAAAAACCTAGCTTTCTGGAGAAAACTGTAATACTGGGAAAGGCAGAAGTAAAAGAAAGAAAGAAAGAAAGAAAGAAAGAAAGAAAGAAAGAAAGAAAGAAAGAAAGAAAGAAAGAAAGAAAGAAAGNCTTATATACCGCTTCATAGGGCTTTCAGCCCTCTCTAAGCAGTTTACAGAGTCAGCATATCGCCCCCACAGTCTGGGTCCTCATTTCACCCACCCCGGAAGGATGGAAAGCTGAGCCAACCTTGAGCCGGTGAGATTAGAACCGCTGAACTGCAGATAACAGTCAGCTGGAGTGGCCTGCAGTACTGCACCCTAACCACTACACCACCTCGGCAAAAAGTGGGTTCCTTGGGAGTTACGTATAAATCAATTCAACTAATGGGAAAGTATTCTAAAACATTAAGCTAATACCTCATAAATCAAGCAAAGAAGCTTGTAATTATAGGATGACAACCAAAAAATCTGATTATCCCAGTAGGCAACCAGTTAAAAGGACCTTTTATACTTAATTCCCATTCTGGCCTTCCGGAAGAGAATTAAGATCTGGTTCTGTCAACTAGCATGGGGATCCAATAGTGACACGCAACCCTGGGTTGGGGTTTTTTTTAAGCTTAACTTTGGTTTTTTTAAAACTTTGTATACTGTATTTTGTATAAATTTTATGTTTTTTATTTGTAAATCAAGTCATAGTGATATGGGTGGTATATAAATTTGATTACTAAGTAAACAATAAAATAAAATAATAATACTTTGGCAGATTCATATATAAGCTGCGGTGGCGCAGTGTTTAGAATGCAGTGTTGCGAGCAAACTCTGCCCACATTCTGAAGTTCGATCCTGACCGGCTCAAGGTTGATTCAGCCTTCCATCCTTCTTAATTCAGTAAAATGAGGATCCAGATTGTTGGGGGCAATATGCTGACATTTGTAAACCGCTCAGAAAGTGCTCTTAAGCCCTTTGGTATGTAAGTCTAAGTGCTATAGGTAGGTAAGGCCTTTAAAACAACAGTTAAAAGTGAAATATTTGAGAATATTCTCAATTGAACTCACAAGTAAAGTGAGTGCTTCCCTGGAAGGGGTGTTAGCATCTCTCTATCTGCTAACCACACGATCAAAAGGAGATTTTGTAAGCAAGGTGTCAAACAATGCCTGTACTCTCAATAAAGTAGAGGATATTATCCTTTATATTCTCCACTGCCCCACTTAAAATGGAATCAGGGCCAAATTACTGGTGGTAATTTCAACTGATCAACCTTGAAAAATTGAACTGTTGTACTTTCTCTGCTGTCATTGAAACCTAGAAAGAAACTTACATTCTTAGCTGTAGCTTTGGTTTTATCTTGCTGTAACCTTTTTACATTTCTATTTTTGCTATTTTTATTATTTTACTTTACAATATTACCATATTTTTCAGAGTATAAGACACACCTTTTTCCTCCCTAAGAGAGGGTGAAAATTTGGATGTGTCTTATACATTGAATGTAGCCCCACCCAGCAGCCCCAACCCTTTGGCCTCTGCCTCCCAGCAATTTACCTCTTTGCAGCAAACAGGGTTTGTGGAGACTTCAATAAGCTCTAGCAATCCCTGCAGCCTGTAAAATCGGGAGAAATTGAAAGTGAAACTTGCTGTTTGCTCCATGTTGGCAAATGGCTGGGAGGCAGATTTTTTTTTCCTTCTGCTAATCAGGCTGTTTGCTGCAAGAAGGTAAGTCAACAACTATTATTGCCTATAGAATGTTCAAATTATTAAACTTATTTTTTAAAGACTGCTTTATTATTATTCTAGACGACTTAACAAAATGAAGAAGC